GGACCAGATTGTTGGATGCAATATGCTGACTTGTAAACTGCTTAGAGAGGGAAGTAAAGCACTGTGAAGCAGTATATAATCTAAGTGCTATTGCTATAATGCAGGTGTAGTATTTCTGAGAAAAAAAGTCTTACAGTAATTTTATATCTTCTATAATGGTCAGTGAATATTGAACAGCCTTCTATCTATACTATGCTAAGTAGTTATTTCTACTAACCTTGTGTTTCAAATTGATAATGTTTCAAGTCCTGAAGAAAAGGTGATCCCATCATTCTTCTCAATGGAGCTGCATTCAGAAAATGGGTTAGATTGGATGGGTTAGCAGCTACTCTGGGTTTAAGACCTATCCTGCTGCACTAGCAAACAATGATGAATCTCGCTTGAAGAGGGATAATTTTTGAGAACTTCCTTGAACAAGGGTGACAGCTCCAGTCACAATTTTGGATCATTGTTGAATAAGGAAGAAAGATGGGGAATAAAAGAAAAAAAAAAAAGAATGCTGTATTGCCAAATTGGAAAAATGTCCAGTATAGATTAATTATCAAGTCATTTCCAACTCCTATTGAACACAAGATCTGTCTTTAACCTGGTCCTTCAAATCTTCCAATAATACATTCATCATTGCTGGAACTGAGTCTCTCCACCTTACTGCTGGTTGTCCTATTCTTTTGATTCCTTTCACTTTTCTGAGCATTAGATCCTTCTCTGGAAAGCTAAGTCTTCACATTATGTGTCTCTCCATTGTAGACACAGTAGAAAAGTCATCAGCCCCTTGTTTCTTCCCAATGATACTCCCTTCTTGGGTCTAAAAAGAGGATTCATAGTAACAGAGATAATACAGAAATACAGAAGAATAGAGTAGGAAGGGACCTTGGAGTCTTTAAGTTCAACCTGTCCCAAGCAGGAGACCCTATACCATGCCACACAAGTGGCTCTCCTGCCTCTTCTTAAAAGCCTCCAGTGATGGACCACCCAGAACTTCTGAAGGCAAATAGGTTACTTGCTAATTGTTAAATGTCCCTATAATGCCTTTTTGGAAGTTCACTCTAGGACAACACCTTTGTGCTGGTTAA